TTTGTAGCAAGTGATCCTGATGACAATTGAAATGCAATGTAATATACAAATATGATTTGCAATGCAAGGTGGTCTGCAGTTAGAAAACACTAGTTATTTGGCCGTCGATATGCTGTTTGCAAGTGGTATAATTTGCTGCAGAATGCAGTGTTTGTGCACTTAAGTGGTGATATTAGTACAGGCTTGTGACGAACGCCACGTGTAGTGTATTTGTATTATTGCTTGTTTATGGACGAGGGTTAGCGCGAACGCAGACCCCCACACTAAAAAATAGCGTACCCGAGTAATCCGCATTTGGGATTATCGCAGGGTTCAGCCCGACCGGAGTGCAATGGAAGGGCCTCGACCTGGGGGAACCTTTTTTTTTAGTTTCATAAAAAGTTTATTAACATATATACAGGTAAAAACGTCACGAGACAGACCCCAATGACGCCAGCGACTGATGTACAACCGGTAGCCCCGGTAAAGTGCCATTATCCTTACATCCTAAGATGGACAAGATATGTAAACGAAGTTACCTGGTTACACGATAGTTAACATAATTAATATGTTAAAAATAATGACAATTATCGGTATTAATTGATATAAGTCACAGCATGTTTCTTGATTATAACGGGAGATTGATGTTTAGGTCGTCATCCCGCAAGGTACAGAAAATATCAGTAGTACACCAATACTCAGAGAAAGTGTTTCTGGAAAAGCGAGTAAAATCAGACTTAATGCGAAGAATAACATTGCTGAGAAAGTGACAGACGAGCGAATCAGAAGAAGGAGACTTTTTGTCATATTTTTTAACACAACGTATATGCCAAATGGACGATAGGGATTCTGCCACTAGAAAAAGGACAAGAGACTTTACTTTTAGAGTTAGACATACTGGTGAATGAAAATGCCAAAGTGCCGAATCAGTTGGGATCTTGTTCTCTGAGATCTGGTGTATCCAAGAATTTACCAAGGATACTAACGGCTGAATAAATGAACACTCAAAGAATAAATGTGAAATTGTTTCAAAACCAGTACAAAAAGTACAAAATTTACAGGATTCAACACCATATTTATACATTCGAAAATTCACAGGTAAAATCTCGTGTACTATCTTAAAGACAACATCACGTGAGCGAGTATCTAAAAACTTGTTTGAAATATTGCGAAAAACAATTTTAAAATCAACAGTTGGAAAAATCTTCACAACTCTTGGTGGCTTAGTAATACCAGCTAATAACGTAACGTACAACTCTTTGGTTGTCCCAGACTCAAAATTAGACTTGGGAAAGTCTTTTCTATATCTTCTGAAAAATTCCATAAATATAAGAATAAAATGTAGGGCACCACTCACTATGTGGAATACTGTTGTCAACAGGTGAAAAATATTCTCGAAAATGTAATGAGAGCCAGTACTTGGTAAAATACTTCCACTTGGCCTCGGTATGTTTGAAAACAAAATCCTGACAATGTTTTAGATAAATGGCTTGAAATTTACTTTTAATGTTAACAATACCAAGTCCACCACTAGTAGTAGAGGCATAGGCTACGGAGCGCGCAAGTGGCTCCGACTTGGAATTCCATAAAAATCTAAACAAAGTTCTCTGTAAAAGATCTAAATAATGCCTTGGCATTATGACGGTAGTACCAATATACCAAAGTTTGCTGCAAGCAAGGACCTTCATAACTATGGACTTTTGTGTTAAAGATAAATTTCGCATTTTCCATAAATCCAAGGTCCTTGAAAATTTCCGAAAAACTGGCTGCCAAATATCGTCAGGAGTAATGTTATTGCCAATTAAAACCCCACAAATCTTATGTTTTTCAACCCAACTAATGCCGAAAGGGTTATCTGAACGTGATTTCCATTTCCCAAGCCAAATACCCTTAGTTTTCTGTTTATTCAATTTAGCACCTGACGCTTTGCCATACAGATTACACCAATGAAATAATTTTGAAATAGAGGAATCGGAACAGCAAATACCAGTACTATCATCTGCATAGAGGGAAATTTTAGCTGACTGAGAGGAACCCGGAAGTTTTACACCAGTTATTTCAGGATCGTCACGGACTTTTTTCGCAAAGGGCTCCAAGACCAAAACATATAAAAGAGGAGATAAACTACAGCCTTGCCGTACACCACGAGTGATAGGAAAGGGGTCAGAAATAAACCCGTTAACAATAACGGACGAACAGACATTTTTGTATAAGATACTTACCCATTTAGCAAAATCAGGACCGAAATTGTAAGTTTCAAGTACCTTAAATAAAAATGTATAACTTACTCTATCAAAAGCTTTCTCTTGGTCAAGAGATATAAAAGCACACTTTAAGTCTTTTTGATTAACGTAATCAACAATATTACGAAGAAGATGACAGTTTTCAAAAATAGATCTATCTTTTATCGCGCAAGTTTGGTCAACCCCAACAAGTTTATCAATAACCTTACTTAACCTGTTGGTGATAACCTTGGAAAGAATTTTATAATCAATATTCAGGAGAGAAATGGGCCTCCAGTTTTTCATACTAGTAGAATTACTTGGATCTTTACATAATAACGATATAAAAGACGTTTTCTGGGTGTCACATAGCTCACCCTTCTGAAAAATGTCATTGTATAATGTGACAAGATGATCTCCTAATAAATCAAAAAAAGTAAGATAGAATTCTTTAGTGAGACCATCACTACCAGGGGACTTATTGTTCTTCATATGCTTGATAGCAGCTAGTATTTCCTCCTTCCCTATAGGGCCTTCACACATTGACATTTCAAGTTCGGTAAGTTTGGGAAGGTTATCACAAAAAGAGTCAGCCAACTCAAAATCGATATCTTCCTCGGAAAAAAGTTTGGTATAAAAATCTCGAAAGGCCGCTAAAATGTCACTGGAATTAGTAACACAGGAAGAATCAGGTAAGTCGATTTTCTCTATGAATTTCTTCTTACCCTTATCACACTCCATTTTAAAGAAATAACGTGAAGGCTTTTCAGAAGAGTCTAGAAAATTGGCTCTAGACCTAATCATAGACCCCCTGAAACTATCAGTATGAAAATCAAGTAATTGTCTCTTAATAGACTGAACTTGATCAATAAAGTGTCCAGGTGACTTTTTTTCTAAATTATACAACTTATTATATTTTTCTTGTAAAGATCTGACAACAGAACGTTTAACTTTAGCTTTACGTTTACAATATCCAATAATGAAATATTTGATAACAGATTTACAATTATCCCAATGATCTAAAGACACAGGCTTATTGTCAGTTAGATCAAGCCAGAAATCTTTAAAAGCAATCTGAAAGGCTCTATCGCTCAAAATACTATTATTAAGTTTCCAGTAAAAGGGTCCAAACTTATCCTCAGAAAATAGTTTAATTTTTAGAAGAACAAAATCATGGTCGGAACTACCAGACGGAAAAATTCTATTCTCTAATAAATGCTCTTTCAATATACATGAAATATAAAATCGATCTAAGCGGCATGAAACACCATTACCATGCCAAGTAGTAGAAATGACATTCGGAAAAAGTGATCTAAATGTCTCAAATAACTTAAAATCATTAAACAGATTTTTTATTGAAACACTACCAGGAAGACCACAACTGGGATTACCACCTATCTTATCAAGGGAAATGTTTTCAATACAATTAAAATCGCCTGCAAAAATGATGGGCCTTCTACAGGTAAAATGATGTATAATATTATCAAAAAATGCCCGACGCTCCTCATCAACATTTGGGGAGTATACATTAATAATTCTGAACTCGCTATCATAATATTTAAAATCAACAAACATGGTCCGTCCTTCTCTATCAAGATCAAACTTTTGCAGTTGTACATCTATGAAAAACAAAACAGCTGTGCCCTTACTATTATATGAACCGAAATTCCATATTGCTTTACATTTCAGAAAATTTTCAATGTTTTTGCCGACAAACAAGTTAGAGACATGAGTTTCTTGCAACAATACAACATGTACATTATGATTGTGTACAAAATCACTCAGCTCATATTGCTTAGACTTGGATAAAAACCCATTGCAATTCCATGTAATTATATTAATTGTTGTATTATTCTCTATCATTATAATATATTTTCAGGTATATAGAATCTCTACAAAACACCAGTAATAAGAAATCTATGCGGTAAGGAAATATAACAAACAGGAAGGGAAACACGCACCCGCACACGATCGGTCTTCAGAACCGAGGGAGGAAAGGTGAGTATAAAAACAAAACCATTCAAAACATAGCAGACTACAGTGAAAGTGTGATCAACGAACCGGAACACAGGTAAGTTAACGAGTGCACGAGAGTGACTCTCTATACACGCGCCTCGAATAGATTGCCTAAGCGTATGCCGGCGAAATTCCAGCTTAAACGCACCAACATAGTAATGATAATAATAATAAATATGAAGAACAAATACAAATATTAGGTGACAGAAAGGGTAGGATTCGCTAGTAATTGAACTCAGTATAGAAGACATTAGGCAGCAGTGGTAAGAATGTAAGAAGCCACAAAATAAAGAAGCTGTAATAATACGTAAAGCTGACAATTCGTAACAATTTTCTGATGGCAAAAAAAACGACGCAAGAGAGAAAGCTGACAAAGTTTTCACAGGTAAAAACCCGTGTTGTTGTGTACTATTGATTTTATAATATAGATAGGAATAAAAGCCGACAAAAAGTTGACAATGCGTGCATAGTACTGAGGTAAAACGTATACAGAATATTTCATATAGTGAGGTAACAGGTGAAAGTGGCTTATTGAAAGAAGCTAAACAAAACTTATACTGAACAAATAGAGGATTATAGATAACAACACAACAATGACAATGAATGAAAACATACATTGTATAATGAAACGAAACTATAATTTCACTTACAGTGAACACCTTCTGGGTGAGATGATCGCTAAAGTCCAGGGACACGCCAAGGTCAAGTATCCATCGCAACACCGCCGCCATTGTCCGATATAATTCAGTCCAAGTCTGTTGACAAAGAAAACTACACACATACCTAAAGAGTACCCTCGTCAATAACGAGATGATCGTCTTCGGACATATCTGAATCGCTCCGATCTTCTGAACACCTCTGTCCAGGAACTAAGTCCCCATTAGAGAGAAATGCCGGAGATGAGGCCGAATGCTTTCCTTTCTTCGTTACCCTCTGAAAGCCGTCCTCGTCGATGACGGGCCCCGGGCGTTTTGCAGAAAAAGTGTCCATACTACTCCCTCCGGACGAGGGGCTCGCAGTCTCGTCCTTGCTGATAGCCGGTTCCGACTCCTCCTGCTGTGCCACAGTTCCTGTTGGGGGGATTTCAACCGCGGACTGGCTTGTAGCCTGCGCTTTGTTGGCGTATGTAGCCCTAGTCGTTGGCTCTGGTCTTCCAGGGCACTGTGACCTAACATGGCCGATCTGTTGGCACCTTAAACAAATAGGTGGTCTTCCAGGAACCATAATCAGCGCCACTTTGCCAAAGAGTCGAGCTCTATACGGGATCCTGTCTTGATCTCCCTCCCTAATCATCAGTATGATTTCTCTGGTACCTGTCTCTAGAGTGACACCTCCTATGGTAGTTGTCTCTCTACCTATACGTATGACCTTCCCGTACAATTCATTAAAATCCTCGGCAATAGCTTCGTCTTCTATCCAGGTTGGCAGCCATTGTACTCGAATTGAGAGGCGGCGTTGGTCACACCGTTCTGGAGATAGTGTGAAATACGTCTCTTTCATTTGACCATTTTCTACGATGTTGTCAACCACTTCCCGGGACGTAACCGTGACGAACCAAGTATTCGGTGCCTCGCACCTGAAAACTGAAACGATGTTTTCGCCAGCAAAACCTGAAGACAGAAGTGATTTCACAACTTCAAATCTAGTGACGGAGTGTTTCCTGGATCCGGAAACAACCATTCTTACGGAGCGTTGCAAAACTTCAAGGTCAATATGCGTCATACTGGCGTTAGCGGCATCCATACTGTCGGTAGCCCCTGTACCAGGTAAGTATGAGTTGTTTCGTTACTGATACAGTATAAGAACTTCATCTAAGCTGACGAAGTCGGGGTTACGCAAAATTATCATACTTTTGTGAATAACAATTTACTATTTACAATGTTTCATCTCGCATTTCATCAATAATACATCCGTTATGTTGCCAACAAATTTGCAGATAATGTCGAATTAAAGCAAGAACCATAACCTAATCCAAGATGATGCCATTTGTGTTCATCAACATATTAATTAATCTTGACAGGGGAGATCAATCAGTGTCATGCATTGTGCACTTGAGACATTTCATATCTCTGCACATCGGCCCACACATACTGAAATATGTTAAAACTATACATGTCCACGGAGACAAGATCCTGCAGATTTCTTCTGTTATTAAGCGAATAATACAACACTATTCACGAGTTTTAAACGATCCAAAGATTACATCAATTGTATCGACTGATTTTGCTTAGATGCCCTTTTCCCTCCTACCGTTACTGCTATGCTTGCTTGTTTGATCTTTCATACCGAAATATTCCACTGAATGCTTTGTAATCCTGGAGTCTACTTGGTCGGGCCGTTCATTCAGATATATTTCATGAAAACCTGTGTACTCCCTGTGTCCTCTTATTTGGCGATGAAGGCGTTGCCATCCTATGATTCTTAGAACAATTGCGATCTTCTGAGGAAGTTGTCTGAGCTGCACTTGAGATAAGTTCGAAATATTTCACATTTCATTTGCATTACCACAATCCACCTCTGAAAAGCTGTTTGAACATTTCTTATTTGTAGCAAGTGATCCTGATGACAATTGAAATGCAATGTAATATACAAATATGATTTGCAATGCAAGGTGGTCTGCAGTTAGAAAACACTAGTTATTTGGCCGTCGATATGCTGTTTGCAAGTGGTATAATTTGCTGCAGAATGCAGTGTTTGTGCACTTAAGTGGTGATATTAGTACAGGCTTGTGACGAACGCCACGTGTAGTGTATTTGTATTATTGCTTGTTTATGGACGAGGGTTAGCGCGAACGCAGACCCCCACACTAAAAAATAGCGTACCCGAGTAATCCGCATTTGGGATTATCGCAGGGTTCAGCCCGACCGGAGTGCAATGGAAGGGCCTCGACCTGGGGGAACCGCCTTGCTAATCACGGTATCCCCTGTACCAGGTAAGTATGAGTTGTTTCGTTACTGATACAGTATAAGAACTTCATCTAAGCTGACGAAGTCGGGGTTACGCAAAATTATCATACTTTTGTGAATAACAATTTACTATTTACAATGTTTCATCTCGCATTTCATCAATAATACATCCGTTATGTTGCCAACAAATTTGCAGATAATGTCGAATTAAAGCAAGAACCATAACCTAATCCAAGATGATGCCATTTGTGTTCATCAACATATTAATTAATCTTGACAGGGGAGATCAATCAGTGTCATGCATTGTGCACTTGAGACATTTCATATCTCTGCACATCGGCCCACACATACTGAAATATGTTAAAACTATACATGTCCACGGAGACAAGATCCTGCAGATTTCTTCTGTTATTAAGCGAATAATACAACACTATTCACGAGTTTTAAACGATCCAAAGATTACATCAATTGTATCGACTGATTTTGCTTAGATGCCCTTTTCCCTCCTACCGTTACTGCTATGCTTGCTTGTTTGATCTTTCATACCGAAATATTCCACTGAATGCTTTGTAATCCTGGAGTCTACTTGGTCGGGCCGTTCATTCAGATATATTTCATGAAAACCTGTGTACTCCCTGTGTCCTCTTATTTGGCGATGAAGGCGTTGCCATCCTATGATTCTTAGAACAATTGCGATCTTCTGAGGAAGTTGTCTGAGCTGCACTTGAGATGAGTTGTTCGAAATATTTCACATTTCATTTGCATTACCACAATCCACCTCTGAAAAGCTGTTTGAACATTTCTTATTTGTAGCAAGTGATCCTGATGACAATTGAAATGCAATGTAATATACAAATATGATTTGCAATGCAAGGTGGTCTGCAGTTAGAAAACACTAGTTATTTGGCCGTCGATATGCTGTTTGCAAGTGGTATAATTTGCTGCAGAATGCAGTGTTTGTGCACTTAAGTGGTGATATTAGTACAGGCTTGTGACGAACGCCACGTGTAGTGTATTTGTATTATTGCTTGTTTATGGACGAGGGTTAGCGCGAACGCAGACCCCCACACTAAAAAATAGCGTACCCGAGTAATCTGCATTTGGGATTATCGCAGGGTTCAGCCCGACCGGAGTGCAATGGAAGGGCCTCGACCTGGGGGAACCTTTTTTTTAAGTTTCATAAAACGTTTATTAACATATATACAGGTAAAAACGTCACGAGACAGACCCCAATGACGCCAGCGACTGATGTACAACCGGTAGCCCCGGTAAAGTGCCATTATCCTTACATCCTAAGATGGACAAGATATGTAAACGAAGTTACCTGGTTACACGATAGTTAACATAATTAATATGTTAAAAATAATGACTATTATCGGTATTAATTGATATAAGTCACAGCATGTTTCTTGATTATAACGGGAGATTGATGTTTAGGTCGTCATCCCGCAAGGTACAGAAAATATCAGTAGTACACCAATACTCAGAGAAAGTGTTTCTGGAAAAGCGAGTAAAATCAGACTTAATGCGAAGAATAACATTGCTGAGAAAGTGACAGACGAGAGAATCAGAAGAAGGAGACTTTTTGTCATATTTTTTAACACAACGTATATGCCAAATGGACGATAGGGATTCTGCCACTAGAAAAAGGACAAGAGACTTTACTTTCAGAGTTAGACATACTGGTGAATGAAAATGCCAAAGTGCCGAATCAGTTGGGATCTTGTTCTCTGAGATCTGGTGTATCCAAGAATTTACCAAGGATACTAACGGCTGAATAAATGAACACTCAAAGAATAAATGTGAAATTGTTTCAAAACCAGTACAAAAAGTACAAAATTTACAGGATTCAACACCATATTTATACATTCGAAAATTCACAGGTAAAATCTCGTGTACTATCTTAAAGACAACATCACGTGAGCGAGTATCTAAAAACTTGTTTGAAATATTGCGAAAAACAATTTTAAAATCAACAGTTGGAAAAATCTTCACAACTCTTGGTGGCTTAGTAATACCAGCTAATAACGTAACGTACAACTCTTTGGTTGTCCCAGACTCAAAATTAGACTTGGGAAAGTCTTTCCTATATTTCTGAAAAATTCCATAAATATAAGAATAAAATGTAGGACACCACTCACTATGTGGAATACTGTTGTCAACAGGTGAAAAATATTCTCGAAAATGTAATGAGAGCCAGTACTTGGTAAAATACCTCCACTTGGCCTCGGTATGTTTGAAAACAAAATCCTGACAATGTTTTAGATAAATGGCTTGAAATTTACTTTTAATGTTAACAATACCAAGTCCACCACTAGTAGTAGAGGCATAGGCTACGGAGCGCGCAAGTGGCTCCGACTTGGAATTCCATAAAAATCTAAACAAAGTTCTCTGTAAAAGATCTAAATAATGCCTTGGCATTATGACGGTAGTACCAATATACCAAAGTCTGCTGCAAGCAAGGACCTTTATAACTATGGACTTTTGTGTTAAAGATAAATTTCGCATTTTCCATAATTCCAAGGTCCTTGAAAATTTCCGAAAAACTGGCTGCCAAATATCGTCAGGAGTAATGTTATTGCCAATTAAAACCCCACAAATCTTATGTTTTTCAACCCAACTAATGCCGAAAGGGTTATCTGAACGTGATTTCCATTTCCCAAGCCAAATACCCTTAGTTTTCTGTTTATTCAATTTAGCACCTGACGCTTTGCCATACAGATTACACCAATGAAATAATTTTGAAATAGAGGAATCGGAACAGCAAATACCAGTACTATCATCTGCATAGAGGGAAATTTTAGCTGACTGAGAGGAACCCGGAAGTTTTACACCAGTTATTTCATGATCGTCACGGACTTTTTTCGCAAAGGGCTCCAAGACCAAAACATATAAAAGAGGAGATAAACTACAGCCTTGCCGTACACCACGAGTGATAGGAAAGGGGTCAGATATAAACCCGTTAACAATAACGGACGAACAGACATTTTTGTATAAGATACTTACCCATTTAGCAAAATCAGGACCGAAATTGTAAGCTTCAAGTACCTTAAATAAAAATGTATAATTTACTCTATCAAAAGCTTTCTCTTGGTCAAGACAGTTTTCAAAAATAGATCTATCTTTTATCGCGCAAGTTTGGTCAACCCCAACAAGTTTATCAATAACCTTACTTAACCTGTTGGTAATAACCTTGGAAAGAATTTTATAATCAATATTCAGGAGAGAAATGGGCCTCCAGTTTTTCATACTATCAGAATTACTTGGATCTTTACATAATAACGATATAAAAGACGTTTTCTGGGTGTCACATAGCTCACCCTTCTGAAAAATGTCATTGTATAATGTGACAAGATGATCTCCTAATAAATCAAAAAAAGTAAGATAGAATTCTTTAGTGAGACCATCACTACCAGGGGACTTATTGTTCTTCATATGCTTGATAGCAGCTAATATTTCCTCCTTCCCTATAGGGCCTTCACACATTGACATTTCAAGTTCGTTAAGTTTGGGAAGGTTATCACAAAAAGAGTCAGCCAACTCAAAATCGATATCTTCCTCGGAAAAAAGTTTGATATAAAAATCTCGAAAGGCCGCTAAAATGTCACTGGAATTAGTAACACAGGAGGAATCAGGTAAGTCGATTTTCTCTATGAATTTCTTCTTACCCTTATCACACTCCATTTTAAAGAAATAACGTGAAGGCTTTTCAGAAAAGTCTAAACAATTAGCTCTAGACCTAATCATAGACCCCCTGAAACTATCAGTATGAAAATCAAGTAGTTGTCTCTTAATAGACTGAACTTGGTCAATAAAGTGTCCAGGTGACTTTTTTTCTAAATTATACAACTTATTATATTTTTCTTGTAAAGATCTGACAACAGAACGTTTAACTTTAGCTTTACGTTTACAATATCCAATAATGAAATATTTGATAACAGATTTACAATTATCCCAATGATCTAAAGACACAGGCTTATTGTCAGTTAGATCAAGCCAGAAATCTTTAAAAGCAATCTGAAAGGCTCTATCGCTCAAAATACTATTATTAAGTTTCCAGTAAAAGGGTCCAAACTTATCCTCAGAAAATAGTTTAATTTTTAGAAGAACAAAATCATGGTCGGAACTACCAGACGGAAAAATTCTATTCTCTAATAAATGCTCTTTCAATATACATGAAATATAAAATCGATCTAAGCGGCATGAAACACCATTACCATGCCAAGTAGTAGAAATGACATTCGGAAAAAGTGATCTAAATGTCTCAAATAACTTAAAATCATTACATAGATTTTTTATTGAAACACTACCAGGAAGACCACGACTGGGATTACCACCAATCTTATCAAGGGAATTGTTTTCAATACAATTAAAATCACCAGCAAAAATGATGGGCCTTCTACAGGTAAAATGATGTATAATATTATCAAAAAATGCCCGACGCTCCTCATCAACATTTGGGGCGTATACATTAATAATTCTGAACTCGCTATCATAATATTTAAAATCAACAAACATGGTCCGTCCTTCTCTATCAAGATCAAACTTTTGTAGTTTTACATCTATAAAAAACAAAACAGCTGTGCCCTTACTATTATATGAACCGAAATTCCATATTGCTTTACATTTCAAAAAACTTTCAATCTTTTTACCGACAAACAAGTTAGAAACATGAGTTTCTTGTAACAATACAACATGTACATTATGATTATGTACAAAATCATTCAGCTCATATTGCTTAGACTTGGATAAAAACCCGTTACAATTCCATGTAATTATATTGATTGTTGTATTATTCTCCATCATTATAATTTATTTTTGGTAGGTATAATCTATACAAGATACAAGCAGAAGAAAAAGTTAAGTGGAAGGAGAGAAAGTTAACAGGTAAGTAAAAGCACACTCGCGCACGATCGGTCTGCAGCCAGGAGAGGAAGGTGAGTATAAAGTAAACACATTCAAAACACAGCAGACAACTGTATAAGCGTGATCAATGAACCGCAACACAGGTAAGTTATCGAGTGCACGAGTGCGACTCTCGATACACGCGCCCCAAAAGGATTGGCTGAGCGTATGCCTGTGAAAAGTCAGCTTAACAACAATATAATAATAATAACAATAATAATAATAATTATGAAGAACAAATGCGAATGTAATGTGACAACATTGGTAAGATTCGCAAGCAATTAAAATCAAAGTAGTGGACGTTAGGCAGTATTGGTAAATATATATTGATATATAAAATGAAAATGCTGTATTAATACGTAAAGCCGACAATACATAAGTACTTTCTACTGGTAAAGACCTCTGCGTAGCTGAGAAAGCTAACAAAGCTCTTACAGGTAAAAACACGCGTTGTTGTATGCTAGCAATTATATAGTACAGGTAAAAATACAACTGGACGATAAGCTGACAATGCATATCAATATAAGTATAACATTGAATGATAACATCAGTTAAATAATGAAACCAAATCAAACATACAGTTACTGTAAACACCTTGTAGGTGAAATGATAACAATAGTCCAGGGACAAGCTGAGGTCAAATATGGAATACAATGCCGCCGCCATAGTCCGATAAAGAAAGTCCAAAACCGTTAACCGAGAAAATAGTAAAACCGATATTTACCCAGACTCCTCGTCAATAACCAGGTGATCCTCATCCGACATGTCGGAATCACTCCGGTCGTCGATACATCTCTGTCCAGGTACTAGGTCGCCATTTGACAGGATGCCCGGGGATATTGATGAATGTTTCCCCTTCTTTGTAACCCTTTGGAATCCGGCATCATCTATGACGGGGCCCGGGCGCTTTGTCGGTAGGGATGTTGGGTTATCGCTACTTCCGGACGAGGGGCACGCGGCAGTACTATTCCTTTCGGAAGAGGGACTCTCGGTAAGGCTACTCCCTCCGGACGAGGGGCTCGTAGCGGGACCGCTCCCTCCGGACGAGGGGCTCACGGTAGAACTGTTTAGCTGTGTTGCCTCTGACTCCTCTCGAAGTGGCGTAGGGCCCATACCCGGGATGGACTGAGATGAAGACTGGGCTACCTTAGCGTAGGTAGCCCGAGTCGTAGGCTCGGGTTTCCCGGGACACTGAGACCTCACGTGTCCGACCTGCTGGCAGCGCAGGCAAATGGGAGGTCTGCCTGGAACGGTAATCAGGGCCACCTTACCGAACAGTCTGTCGCGATAAGGTATCCTGTCCTGGTCGCCTTCCTTTATCAATAACGTGACGATTCTTGTCCCCGTCTCCAAAGTGACTTTCCCTATGGAAGTCTTTTCTCTAGCTATGTTAATGACCTTTCCATAGTAGCTATCGAAATGGTCCGCTATGGCGTCATCTAATATCCAAGACGGGAGCCACATTACACGCAAAGATATCCGGCGTTGGTCGCATCGCTCCGGTGTAAGTGCGAAATAAGTGTCCTTCATAGTACCTTTCTCTACAATACTGTCGACCACTGCCTCGGATTGCAAAGTAACAAACCAGGTGTTTGGAGCTTCGCACCTGAACACGGACACAATCTCCTCCCCGGGAAGTCCACCATTCAGTAATCGCTTCAAGACTTCAAAACGTGTAACAGTGTGTTTCCTTGGACCGGTGACGAACAACCTGACAGACTTCTTCAAAATATCGATATCGATATGATCCATACTTGTAGCAGTGGTGGCCATGATAGCGGTATCCCCTGTACCAGGTAAGTATGAGTTGTTTCGTTACTGATACAGTATAAGAACTTCATCTAAGCTGACGAAGTCGGGGTTTCGCAAAATTATCATACTTTTGTGAATAACAGTTTACTATTTACAATGTTTCATCTCGCATTTCATCAATAATACATCCGTTATGTTGCCAACAAATTTGCAGATAATGTCGAATTAAAACAAGAACCATAACCTAATCCAAGATGATGCCATTTGTGTTCATCAACATATTAATTAATCTTGACAGGGGAGATCAATCAGTGTCATGCATTGTGCACTTGAGACATTTCATATCTCTGCACATCGGCCCACACATACTGAAATATGTTAAAACTATACATGTCCACGGAGCCAAGATCCTGCAGATTTCTTCTGTTATTAAGCGAATAATACAACACTATTCACGAGTTTGATACGATGCAAAGATTACATCAATTGTATCGACTGATTTTGCTTAGATGCCCTTTTCTCTCCTACCATTACTGCTATGCTTGCTTGTTTGATCTTTCATACCGAAATATTCCACTGAATGCTTTGTAATCCTGGAGTCTACTTGGTCGGGCCGTTCATTCAGATATATTTCATGAAAATCTGTGTACTCCCTGGGTCCTCTTATTTGGCGATGAAGGCGTTGCCATTCTATGATTCTTAGAACAATTGCGATCTTCTGAGGAAGTTGTCTGAGCTGCACTTGAGATGAGTTGTTCGAAATATTTCACATTTCATTTGCATTACCACAATCCACCTCTGAAAAGCTGTTTGAACATTTCTTATTTGTAGCAAGTGATCCTGATGACAATTGAAATGCAATGTAATATACATATATGATTTGCAATGCAAGGTGGTCTGCAGTTAGAAAACACTAGTTATTTGGCCGTCGATATGCTGTTTGCAAGTGGTATAATTTGCTGCAGAATGCAGTGTTTGTGCACTTAAGTGGTGATATTAGTACAGGCTTGTGACGAACGCCACGTGTAGTGTATTTGTATTATTGCTTGTTTATGGACGAGGGTTAGCGCGAACGCAGACCCCCACACTAAAAAATAGCGTACCCGAGTAATCCGCATTTGGGATTATCGCAGGGTTCAGCCCGACCGGAGTGCAATGGAAGGGCCTCGACCTGGGGGAACCTTTTTTTAAGTTTCATAAAAAGTTTATTAACATATATACAGGTAAAAACGTCACGAGACAGACCCCAATGACGCCAGCGACTGATGTACAACCGGTAGCCCCGGTAAAGTGCCATTATCCTTACATCCTAAGATGGACAAGATATGTAAACGAAGTTACCTGGTTACACGATAGTTAACATAATTAATATGTTAAAAATAATGACTATTATCGGTATTAATTGATATAAGTCACAGCATGTTTCTTGATTATAACGGGAGATTGATGTTTAGGTCGTCATCCCGCAAGGTACAGAAAATATCAGTAGTACACCAATACTCAGAGAAAGTGTTTCTGGAAAAGCGAGTAAAATCAGACTTAATGCGAAGAATAACATTGCTGAGAAAGTGACAGACGAGCGAATCAGAAGAAGGAGACTTTTTGTCATATTTTTTAACACAACGTATATGCCAAATGGACGATAGGGATTCTGCCACTAGAAAAAGGACAAGAGACTTTACTTTTAGAGTTAGACATACTGGTGAATGAAAATGCCAAAGTGCCGAATCAGTTGGGATCTTGTTCTCTGAGATCTGGTGTATCCAAGAATTTACCAAGGATACTAACGGCTGAATAAATGAACACTCAAAGAATAAATGTGAAATTGTTTCAAAACCAGTACAAAAAGTACAAAATTTACAGGATTCAACACCATATTTATACATTCGAAAATTCACAGGTAAAATCTCGTGTACTGTCTTAAAGACAACATCACGTGAGCGAGTATCTAAAAACTTGTTTGAAATATTGCGAAAAACAATTTTAAAATCAACAGTTGGAAAAATCTTCACAACTCTTGGTGGCTT